AGAAGGTGGCTTTCCGTGTCTCAACATAGAGAGCTCCCATTTGTGTTTGTCAAGGCCAGAGGTAACTAAATTTGTGGCATGGAAAATGATGAATTCAATAAAGGGCTAGTTACCTCTTCTCTAACATTTACTACGACTCACAGCAACCCATAACTTTGTTTTCTTTAATGTTTTTTCTTGGGATTTTTTTTTTCAAAAAACGATTAATTGTGTCTTTATCAAAAAAATGAATGACACTCTTCTTTAATCATTCATTTATTTATTTCTATTTTATTATTTTGTTTATTGCAAATTGTTAGACTTGGATCGTTAAAAAGCCAATGGTTCGTGATTTATTGATTGACTGTTGGATTAATCCATTCGAACCATCAAAACTACCACTTAATTGGGTCAGTTTGCCCAAGGGGTCAACACTAACCCAACCCTGAAGTGAAGTCAGATTAGTAAAAGTCAATCCTAAGTTCCTAACCCTAAGGCCCAAATTGCAGCCCTAGTTAGATTAAAAAGCCACTCCATAAATAGCTTTAGGCCATGTTTGGGAGTGCTTATGTTAAAAATAAGTGTTTAGAAACAAGTGCTTATTTTGAAAATAAACACTTATTTTATATTGGATGTTTGGTGGTCTTTTTCTCCAATAAGCAATTGTTATTCTTTTGTAACAATTTTCAAAGCATCTAATAAAAAATGAATGAATAAAAGTATTTTGATAGAAGTGATTTATAAAAGTACTTTTACAAAAGTGCTTTCATGAATAAAAGTACTTTGGATGAATTTTATAAAGTATTTCTGTAAAAGTATTTTTTCTAAAAGTGCTTTCGTAAAAGTACTTTGATAAAAATACTTTCATAAAAGTAATTTTATAAAAGTGCTTTTATAAAAGTAATTTCGTAAAAGCACAAAAATACTAACACTAATTAGAAAAGCACTTCTATAAAAGTGCTTTTATAAAGTATTTCTGTAAAAGTATTTTTTCTAAAAGTGCTTTCGTAAAAGTACTTTGATAAAAATACTTTCATAAAAGTAATTTTATAAAAATTTTTTAATAAAAGTACTTTTATAAAAATGCTTTCATAGAAGTGCTTTTATAWAAGTAATTTCGTAAAAGCACAAAAATACTAACACTAATTAGAAAAGCACAAAAAATCCTGAACATGAACTATTCAAATAAAAGCTTAAGGATGAAAATATGTAGGTATTTCCAAGTCCCATTTTTCTTCTCTTTGAAGTATACTATAGATGTTTATTTTCATCTCAGATATTTTCTGATCAACAGCTTTGATTTTGAGAAGAACAAGCCCATCTTCAACTCAAGGAAAGTAGGATATTTATCATCTCCAAGGGGGGCGGGAAGACCTAGAGAAAATTCAATGAGGTTAAGATTCCAGTTTTCACCTTCCATTCCATTGGGAGAGATTAATACCTCTTTAAGATACCCTAGGAGAAGTCCAACCTTAAGGCTATGTTTGGTTTGAAGGAAAAGGTAGGGAAAGGAAGGGAATGGTAGGAACCTTGTAAAGATTTGCCTACATTTCCCTACCTTTCCCTTCAAACCAAACACAGCATAAGAGTCTTTGCATCACTCAAACTGCTAGGTGAACCAAGGTTGCAAGATAGACTGCCCCTAGTAAGAAACAAAGCAATGGACTGGCTACGTATCGCGGTGTGACTTGGGAAGGCCTAGGTTGAGCATTTATTAAATTTTGAAAGGGTGTCCAAGCTGATGCAATGGAAATTCTTTATATTAGCTCCCCTATTTGCACCCTTAATATGGATGTTAGGCATCTAAAAGTCATGGAGATTTTTGGTACAAGGCATGCTACTCTAGCGCAACTTTGATGCCAACCTCAAATTATAACTAATATTAATGACTAGGACTTTTCTCAAACTGCAAACAGTTCACAAGGCCTTCAGCTTGCTTGTTTTGGTATTCTTTTTCTTTTCTTTTTTTTTTTATCAGTAACATTCTTATTTTGATAATCATTCTTCATTCAAACCCAAATTAGAAGATGGACAAAACTTCAAAGAATTTAAATGATTTGAAACAAGGGTTAAGATGGTTGGGTTAACTAAAACTGATTAGGCCCAATGCCACAGCCGCTTGGATGCTTTAACCTTTCTACATTGTGTGCCTTGAGCCATTTTCTTCCTTTGGATACAATCATTGTAACTCAGATGTTGTAAATTTCCTCAGAATGTATGTTAAGTTGACACTGTCATTTCATTGATGGTCACGACATGCTTGAATTGTTAAGTAATATATTGATAAGTAGCCGCAATTTGTACCAAGTATAAAACAATGTACGTAACTTACAAGAGATCTTTAGGTAGGACAAAAATGACCAACTCCCAAATCCATACAATCACTACAATTGCTCCCTAATAGCCCCTTGTTTAGCTAAAGCATCAGCCATGCTCTTAGCCGATCTTTGTACACATTGAAATTTTATTAATTAAAAATGACAGTATTACAAATTTACAAGTAGACATCAGTAAGTACAAGCAACCCCAAGAGAGGTGTGAGATGCCACTTCTCCCTTCATAAAAAAGAAAGGGAAATTTCCACTTTAGTACCCTGAACTTTGTGGGTAGTGTGAAATTAGTATCTGAATTTTCACATGCATCACTGCAGTACCTAAACTTTCAATAAGTGTCAAGTTGGTCCCTGCCATTAACCGACCATCAGTTATTCGTTGAAGATGTCAAAACTACCCTTCAAAAGAATACACTGTTCATTGTCTTCTACTACGAGATTAAACTGGTTGAGGTGTTTGAGATTCTAGACTAATGAAGTCATTGTCTTCTACCTTTAGATCTGAAACACTTTCTTGTCTAGTTATTTCTTTGCTTTCAGTTATTGTTTCCCTCTTTCATATTTCATGTTTTTTCTCTCTTTTTCTTTGAAGATAACTGGTTCAGTCTCGAGGTAGAAAACAATGAACAGTATCTTCTTTTGAAGGGTAGTTTTGACATTTTCAACCGATAACAGATGGGGGACCAACTTGACACTTTTTTGAAAGTTTAGGTACTGCAGTGACACATTTGAAAGTTTGGGTACTAATTTGACACTACCCCCAAAGTTCAGGGTACTAAAGTGAAATTTTCCCAAAAAGAAATGCAATTACAAATCCGCCCAAAATGTATTTAGCAAGAGTATCAGCAAAAGTATTGGCAGCCCTTCTCACCCAATGTATTTCCAGATTCATGTTTCTTGTTAACAATTTAAATTTCTTCAATTCATTTTTTAACCCCAAACTACAGGACTCCAACTACTTCAGTCACCCCACCACCACACTAGAATCACCTTCAATTAACAGATTTCCCAAGTTTGTCTCATTTGCAATTTTAACACCCTGCAACAGTGAGCAATTCAAATCTAGTAGAGTTCCCCACTTCCACTGGTCCCAAGAAAAAGCAATGAAGTTTCTTCCTCATTTCTCAAAATTCCCCCTACTCTAGATGACCCAGATTACCTTGGCTACTCCTATCAAAATTTAGTTTGAAAAAACCATCTGAAGGGGGCTTCCACACTAACATTACTTTTTCTTTGCTGGATGAGTTTCTTGCAAATATACCAGTTCCTCCAAAGAACATTAAAGGAGAAATTGGAGAAGATACCCATGGTTTTTAACCAGTGAATAGCCTTAGTCAGTACACATTCTTTCACTGCTTCCTTTTTACCTTCTCTTGAAAGAAACATTCTTGCATTCATTCCTCTCTTCCTAGATGGTTCAGTAAAGCTGCTCTTATACATCTCTACATAATCCTCCCCTTTTATTCATCAACACAAGTGTCATTGGATCAAAGTGACCATTTACCTCCACTGGCAAGTTCCACCTGCATCCAAAAAAAAAAAAAAACATTTCCAAATATCTATAGTAAAAACACAAGAAATTAGTAAGTGGTAACACTTAACAGCTCTCACTGTTGGATTTGCATTGGATGCACCAATGAGATAAACAAAGATGTGGTCTTCTTCTTTGTAACAAGTCCTAGTGTTAACCTTCTCATGACACTTCACAGAAAACACCTATTTTGGGAGGCATCGGTCTACACCAAACTTCATTAGAATGGACAACCTGGGGAGAAGGCAATTGACAGAGGAACCTAAAGGAGGTGCAAGAGAAAACACCCTCAAGATGAGGAATCCACAAATGCCTGTTAGGTTTAGAGGGGTCCAAGCAGACATTATCAAGAAGTACAAGGTTAACAACTGAATTAGGCTCATCATCCTGCAACCTTCTACAAAACCAAGATCCCAATTCTGGCCCAGGGCAAGGGAAGTAAGGGAGGGGTAATGAAACTTGAAACTGGACTCCCTTTTAGCAAAGGAATGGAAAACATAGTTAGGAAAAGATCCTCGAGAGAAGAATTTCCCAGCCAAGTATCTTCCCAAAACCAAACAAAGTCCCCAGAGCATATATCATACCTTATAAAGCAGAGAAAAAGGTGAAAAGCATCACAAATAGCCTTCCAAGGTGACGCCAGAGTAGCCCTGTATGATACACTTGCATCCCAGCCATTTCCCACTTTGTCATGAATACTCACAATTACCCATGCCATAACCTCTAATACTTTCTTCCCTAAATGTGTTTGGGTACCGTGGTGTTGTGTGTCCATTGTGTTTATGCATTGAAAATTGGAGAAAAAGACATGACAGGCATGAATTGCAATGCAACATCCAACATTGTTTGTTGTGTTTTATTACACATAAGTGCTAGAAGACGCCACATAGATGAAACAAAAACACAACAATGGAAACATCAAATGATGTTTCCTCTAAAAGTGAGCTCTGCATAACTTGAGATAAGAAAAGCACAAAACGTTTGTACTTGATGAACCTACCAAACAAGATGCAAGTATAATCGCCTATGTAGCACTGATGTGTTGCTAAAACAGAATCACAACTGAACACAACATCACCGTACCAAACATCGCCTAAGAGTCTGCTCTAGTAGTGTAGCATTGTGCCAATTCACAAAATCGATGGACAAATAGAAAGATTGGATGAGGGTTTAAAAACTCTTGAATTACTATGCTATTGACCAATTCATAAAATTAACATGAGCAAATAGATTAAACAAGCCAATAAAAAACAGTTTATATCATGCCATCATTACTAAAACATGAATAAACAGAGCTTGACTATCCATCTGGTAGTCACTACATAAAGGCTTATCGCCCCAGCAATGCAACACGGTCCTTCTGAATTGCCTGGGAGAGGTTGAGGTCAAAAAGCTCACACCGAATTGGCATTTCCATCTCATAGAAGGGATTTTTCAACACATAATCTGTGTACAGTTCATAGATGATTTTTAAGAGGTCATCCATGTGCTGTGTTCCAGGTTCACAAACCACAAAGAATTTCGTTCCTGCAATAAGAAATACAGTACGGAGATTACCAATAAAATATATCTCATAAGTTTAAAGGTGGGGTTTCCCTTTTATAAATTTGTCACCAATGAAAGCATGTCATCACAGAATCAAATTCTACAGAAATGGAAGACTTAATACAGCTATTAATTCCCCATAACCAAAATAGTCAGAAGAACCAATTTAAAAGTCACCAATTGATGATTACAGTATATTTTTATCATATACACCATTACAATCATAAAAAATAATACCTTCCCAAACATTATAGTACAATGGTACCACATTCAGACCATAGATTTGCAGCCTTTTCAACCACTTAGTTGACTCATATCAGCAATGAATACAAACTTTCTCCCAATTACTAGATGTGAAATAAATGTAACTAACTAAATAATAGAAATGAGAATGAAAACAACAGCAATGGATAGGGAAAAACATCAGCTGGGTTGGGTCAACCCTCACCCAATCTGTGGTGATGAACCCAAATTGAAATTCCAAGCTCCAACCTGAAAGTATTCAATTCCAATGCAATGATTTATAACCCTAACTGAGTAACCCAATTTTTCTAATTTCTGATTAGGTTGGCTAAGATTTCCTATGACTGTAATTTGAACAATAAGTTGGAAAGACTTTGCATATAGTCAAACTCAGGCATGGTTCTTTTTATGTTACACAACCAACATAAACAAACAAATAAACATGAGTTAATTGATATTTAGTTACAGATGAACACAAACAAATAAATAAACGAAAGAAAAAGCATTTTGGTTGACTAGGTCAACTAGTTAGTTGATATTTAGTCGTCCCAAGGAACCACATCATCATGAGTATCGATCGACTAGTTAGTGAAATAGTTGGAATGAGTATGACCCTCAGTTGATGCTCTGATAACATTGAATAGCACAGTGAAATCATTTTGGGCATGGTACAATCAGTTGGGAATTATCAAAGTCGAACGAAAATACAACAACCGGTTAGCATTGTTGCATGAGTCTTCTGAATGGATGTTGGACATGCCTTGGGCTCTTAACACCCTGTGGATTCTTGACACTGTAGGTGACACTTTTCTATATCTCATTGCTAAATGGACAGCTAATATACACATTGAATGCCATCTTTTTCCGCAAAATATTAAGAAACAAAGATAGTCATTTAAATATGTTTTCTATGGGTTTATAGTGTTAAATTCAACAAAATGGAGTACTTATTATACTTGTTTTTTTATCAGTGAGTACTTGTTATACTTGTTTACAAGCATAATCATGAATCCTTGTTTTTTTTTTGTCCTGCTAGGTCAGACTCTCGGATATGTGATAGATTCTGATTCTCATGCCCATGTCCATGCAACACTGCTGATTAGAAATATTCTATATATAGCAGTTAAAAGTAATTTCTAGAACAATTTTGAAATGGTCTTTCCTTCCTGGTCAAAAAATAACCTTTCCATCTATTGCTTCAATCTTTCTATGCTCCAGAGGTGATTTTAGAGAAGAGTTAATCACATGGACAATGATAATGACAATATGACAATGATGAGCAGCAGGGGAATTATGGTGGTGATGTGGAGTTTGGATTGACGAGGATAAAGATTTTGTAATGAAGTCTCCTATTGGTGAAGATGATTTCAATTACAACCAGAAAGGCACAGCATGACTCCCATAAGGATGGGATGAAGACGAACTTTTCTAAACATAATAATAGTGCATTTGGTAACTAATGACAGTGAAGCTGCATGCTGGTAATGAGGATAAGGTTTCAGAGAATGTGTTAGAATTTGGAATGTTTGATGAGGGTAGTTTTAGTTCTGTGGTTGACATTGTGGTAAAGAATCCAAAAGGAGAGTAAGAAATAATGATTTTCAAGATGACTGGTTTATATCTTATATATGTCAGGCAAATAAGATGGTGTTTGGCATCAGAATGTTGATTAGCATACCCATTTTGCCTTGATTAGGACATGCATTGAAGTAGTAAGAAATGATATAAAGCATTCTTAATTTAATAATGGACATGGCACTGAACAGAACAGAATGGCGAAACAGGATTGATGTAGCTGACCCCATATAGTTGGGACAAGGCTTGGATGATGATGATTTTGCCTTAATTGGTGATACAACACCATAAACATTTTGTTAATGTTTCCAGTAGAAACATCTTTGGCAAAGAAAATGCTGACATTAAGAGAAGTCGACATTGTGTTTTGCTTTGTATATTTTAGAAATTATGGTGCAATTGGGAGGTGAAAACTGACAACTAAAAGGAGTTATGGGGATTCACTTTTCAATGCATCATGTTAGAGGGAACTATCAAAAAATGCACCATGTTAGAGGAGGAATCAAAGCAAAGCGGCTTTTTTTTCTGAATGGGAGGCACTCAGACCTTTGGGGAGGTTGAAAATGGTAGGTTTCTCCGGGAAACTGAAGAGGCTAAAAGAAAAAATAAAAGAATAAAGCCCATTTCAGAAGGGTAGAGGAAATAAAAGATAACTTGGTGGGGAGGATTGAGGAGCTGGATGGAAAAGAGGCTCTCAGAGCCATTTCAGAAGAAGAAAGAGGGGAAAGATGGAATCAAAAGAAAAAACTAGAAGAGATAGTACGAAAGGAGGAGATTTGGAGACAAAAATCAAGGTGTTAGTTGCTCACAGAAGGATATGGGAACACTAAGTTTTTTCACTCTCTTGCAATTGGAAGGAGAAAGAACTTAATCCTTAGTGTGGAGGAGGAGGGACAAGTGGTAAGAGTAAGTCAGGGGATTACAAGGATTTTTGTCAATCATTTTAAGGAAATTTTCTCAAGCCCACATGGAGTGTTACCAGAATTGCCAGAGCTGGAAGGGGATGTTCTGTCAGAAGAGCAATCTCTTGCCGTAGAAAGGAGATTTTCCCTGCAAGAAATCAAGGAGGCTATTTTTTCAATGGACAGATCTAAAGCCCTTGGACCGGATGGTTTCTCCATGGCCTTCTATCAAGAGTGTTGGGACATGGTGAAATCAGACATCTTGGAAGTCTTTAATGAATTTTTCTCCAAAGGGGAGGTATCATCAGGAGCAAATGCCACATTTATCACTTTGATTGCAAAGAAGAGGGAGGCCAAAACTCCTAAAGACTTTAGACCAATAAGTCTCATTGGGAATGTTTACAAAATTCTGTCAAAGGTCTTAGCAGAAAGACTAAAAAAGGTGTTACCCTCAACCATATCTCCTTTCCAAGGAGCTTTTGTAGAAGGAAGGCAGATTGTGGATCAAATCTTGGTGGCTAATGAATGCATCGGGGAAAGAAGAAAGGGTAGAGAAAAGGGGCTGGTTTGTAAGGTAGATCTAGAAAAAGCCTACGACCTAGTTAATCGGGAAGTCCTTCTAAAAGTATTAGAAAGACTGGGATTTGGAGATAGATGGAGGGCTTGGATCAAAGGATGCTTAAGTTCAGCTCATTACTCAATCCTAATTAAAGGTACAACAAAGGATTTCTTCCCGGCCAGGAGAGGAATTAGGCAAGGTGACCCCCTATCCCCATTCTTGTTTACCCTAGTAGCAAAAGTGTTAAGTAGAATGGTGGCAAAAGTTGACGCTCAAGGCCTTATTAGAGGTTGGAGGGTAGGTAGAAATCAAGTGATTGCTACCATCCCCAATTTGCAAATGACACCATATTTTTTTGTTAAGGAAACAATGAGGAAATGGTGGAAAACTTGAGGGTGCTGTTGAATAATTTTGTTGGACCAAAAGTGGAATTGTAGGGGTCAATTTGGAGGAAGGAGAACTAATAAGATTTGCGGAGATCTTGGAGTGCGAGATCAGAAGCTGGCCTATTAATTACCTAGATCCCTTAGGAGGAAATCCCAGGTCAGTTGGGTTCTGGAAACCAGTTTCAGAAAGGTTTGATAGAAAGTTAGCCCTTTGGGTTTCTTTGGGTGGAAGAATAACCTTGATTAGAGCCACCCTGGAAAACCTCCCCACCCATTTCCTTTCAACCTTTAGAATCCCTTCTAAGGTAGCAAGGTGCTTAGAGAAGTATATGAGAGATTTCCTTTGGGACCCAGGAGAGGAAGGGAAGGACCACTTGATCAAGTGGGAACAGGTTAGTAAACCTAAGGAACAAGGGGGTTTAGGAATTGGGAACATCCTTTTAAGGAACACAACTCTACTAGGTAAGTGGCTTTGGAGGTTTCCCTTCGAGGGCGATAGATTGTGGCACAAAGTGATTGAGAGCATTCATGGGGTGACTAGAAATGGCTAGGATGCAAAAGTTTCCCCTCACAGTTCTTCGGCTTCTCCTTGGAAAGCAATTCACGAAATCTACCCTACTTTCCTCAATTCCATCCGGTTCGATGTGGGACAAGGTACTAAAATTTTGTTTTTGGGAAGATCTATGGGTAGGGAAAACCCCACTAAAAGACCAATTCCTTGATCTCTTTGCATTACCATCAAACAGTTTGACTTTGAGTAGAATCCGGATGAGCCCTGTGTTTACAGGAAGACAATGGGAGATAAGGTTACGTTCTTGGTTTTGTATGTAGATGACATCCTACTCATTGGGAATGATGTGGGAATGTTAACTACGGTGAAAGTGTGGCTTTCACAGCAATTCTCCATGAAAGATCTTGGAGAAGCCTCCTACATCTTGGGTCTTCGACTCTATAGAGATAGATCAAAGAGGCTAATAAGATTATCCCAGTCTATTTACATAGACAAAATTGTCAAGACATACAACATGGAGAACTCCAAAAGATGAAATGTTCCTTTCAGGCATGGAGTCACTCTCTCCAAGGGTATGTCTCCCAAGACTCCCGAAGAGATTAAGGGAATGAGAGAGGTTCCCTATGCCTCAACAGTAGGGAGCATCATGTATGTCATGCTATGTACTCGATCTGACATTGCTCAGGCAGTGAGTGTGGTAAGTAGATATCAATCAAACGTAGGACAGGAGCACTGGACAATTGTGAAAAACATAGTGAAATACCTTCGAAGGACAAAAGAGTTTTGTTTGGTATTCGATGGTCGTT